CCCCCCCCCCCCACCCCCTCACATGTCATCTCTTAGTGTGATTGGATGTCTATGGAGACCACGAGGCTTTGAAGAACTTTGCGCATTTGTGTGTCTGGTTGAATGTGTGTGTGTGGGGGGGGGGGGTCTGACACACCCCTATTTCTCTTTCCCTCCCCCTAGTTTTTCTCTCTCCTCCCCTCGCCAGGCCAAAAGCTCGCAAGCTGAGCATGAAGGGAAGAAAAAGGTTTCTCATATTTCGTGACTGTCCATCTGATTTCTCTCTTATCCATGCAGTGAGAAATTTGCTGAATTGATTTCAGTGAGTTTGGTGTGGAAGACCTCCAATGTCATGCCCATCAAGCACTTTCACTCTGAACTTGAACCAAGATTTTGTGCTAGCACCTTTCAGGTCCAGCATTGGACACAAATTCCAGAACAACCCACTCCAAAAAACAAAATCCGATGTTCCTCCTTCTTTTTTTGGATCCATAAACTACAAATTTGTAAGTTATTAATTCTTGTAACTCTTTGCCCAAGTGAAGCGGTTTCAGTCAATTTGTAAGCAGGGTCTTGCAAATACCGCTGACAAACCGCCAGTTTCACAAAACCTTTTGGAGGAGTGACTCACTGGCCAAGGAAGAAACCATTAAATTTGGTGCAGATGGAATTTATATTTATGCAAAAAAAAAAAAAAATCCATCCATCCAAATTGTTTTCCCCCTCTATTTATCCTGTTCAGTTTTGTGGAGAGCTAGAATCTAACCCAGCTGACTTCATGAGAAAAGCAGACCGCACCAGTCTCGGGGCACATCGAGTCAGAACTTTTTTCACTCATTTTCACACGGTCACCTGAACTGAAAACGTGTGCAAACCTGCAAAATATTTTTTTCTGTTTTTACAAAGATTTCTTAATTGAGCAACCCGCTCGGCATCCATTGCAGCCTGCCACCCTGGAAGGGGATTGTCCCATCTGTGGCCCCTTCTCAAGGTTTCTCATTTTTTTCCCCAGCTGGGGTCATTTGAGTTTATTCTTGCCCTCGTAGGGGTTAAGAATCAGGGGATGTCGTTAATATTTGTCAACTGCGGGCATGTGAAGCCTTTTGAGAATTTTTGTGATTACGGGACCTATAAATAAAGGTGACTTGACTTGTGACTCTGCGGGAGCCGCATAAGCATCCTGGTAATCATAATCTTAGAATCACAATTCTTCCGTCGACTAACATTTGAGGCAAACGGCATCGGTGAGGCTTAGAATCGGAATCCTTTTTTACTCGTTTTTGTGCTCCTACCTGTAAAGCCCGTCATCCGTGACAATCCCCCCCCCCCCACCTTCCCCTCCATCTTGCATGGCCAAGGTCTGAGCTGAGTCAAGTTCCTCTCATCTCAGATACAATCTCTCGATTTCTTCACCAGGATCATCAGGAGCTTTAAATGTCAAGATAAACATCTGCCCGAGGCGCTTACATGAAGGAGGTTCTAACTTTGAGTCGCAGCATTTCACCGTTCAAGAATCCAGGTGTTCTGTCTGGTCCCGGCTTTGTTTAATTTCCTTTTCACATTGTCAGACAACATCGCTTTCTTCTCATCTTTTCAAAGGTCTCCCTCCCCGCACCCCCCCTTTTTTTTTTTTTGACTGAATTGCGCCGCTGATAGAAGATAAATAGGGTAGACTTGCCGTGCTTTGCTGCGTTTTCTCCTTCATTGTGTTCTCCATTCTTAATCCATCATGTCGCTCTCTCTCTCTCTCTCTCTCTCTCTCTCTCTCTCTCTCTCTTCTGTTTTTGATATTTGTTATTGTGTTGTGCATCGTGTAAATCTGCGCTGCCTCATACTGACAGCCGTTTTAATTTGTTTAGCAACATGAGAGAATCAAAATATTAGAAACAGCTCTCGGTATGATCCAGTGCAGCGCTACAACCACCGCAAACTACAACTGTAATAATAAACACATGTTAAGTGAATATCTCGGTGTCAATCAAAAATAAACATTATCCTTGTAAAGGCAGAATATTCGATACGGGGGCTTGAATTGGAATTTCGCGATTATCGTGTATTTTGTGCTTATAAAACCTAACAGCGTGCATTTCTCCTTTCGCCACTTGATGCACAATGAAAACATTTGTATTTCACAATATCGTAAATACTTTTCCGTGGATCACAAAGTAGCTGACAAACTACCAAACAGATGGACTAACACGAAAATGTGTCCGCTGGCTAATTTTGTATTTTTAATTCGTAATTTACATTCTGTCTTTTCTCTTTTGCCGTTTGACCAACATCGGGACTCTTTCCCTTGCATCACAATCAAAAACGGCTCCGACCTCTTACGTCATCTTGAACAAGGAGCTGGCCTGATAGCATACAGATGGACAAACCCACAGATACTCATAACATCCACGTTTCAAACTTCATGGCGATGTGCGCCATACTGACTTCTTTTATTGTTTTTGTTTTTCTGCGATAATTAGTTACAATACCAAAAAAAGACTTGACTGCTAGTTATCAGACACGTGTACCTCGCGCCGTTGCTCATTGCATCCATAATTACAAGTGCCACATCAAGGACCACTTAGGGCGATAAGCTTCAGCACCACGGACAGCACTTTGAGACGCACTTCTTCAACATGCCGCGTGTGTAATTGAAGACCTTTCGCTGTGACATCACCACTTCCTTTTGTGTCAAGTGGTTTGATATATTTCCGGTCCGGCGTGTGGAGCTTCTCTGCAGCACATCTGTGTCTAGTGCTTGCGTGGAGAAATGTCAATTGAAAGAAAAAAGGCGTGGTCAACTCCGACGCCGCTCGGGGAAGCGTGGCTGGAGAACACACACGCGCGGCCGGCTTCAAATCAACTCACGCCGACTCGTTTTTAACATTCTGCGTTGTTGTGGACACGCGGAACTGATAATACAAAAGTTAGCGATCAGCGATGCACTCGGCGGCCGAGTTGTGCGGCCCCACGTTTTGGTGTGCAGGCATCCTAACGCGATTCAGATGTTGCACGTCGCTCGTTCCGTGAGGGGAAGAAATGTTTCGTCACAGCAGAAAACAATTTGTTGGATGCCGCCGAGCGGCACGCATTCTCCCTCGTTGATTTTTTTCCCGCCCCCTCCTCCCCTCTCCTCTAAACTACTTAGGAAGGCTGTAGGGGTTTCCCCTCTTTGAAAAAGATTTTCAGCCAAATGTTGTTTGCATTTCCGGGAGTTACACAATTCAAAGTTGGTTGACATGATTTCAAGAGAGGCCATCTGCGAAAATCTTTCAATTGATAACATTGTTTCAGACAAATAATTCATATTAACAGAATAACATTAGAGTATTAAATTACACAGTGGAACCTGAAGTCCAACATCCCCAGTGGCGTTTTTATTTGTATTTTTCTGAAGCAATGTGCCAGGGTGACCTGCTGTCACGCATAACGTCACGTGAGACTTCGGTCCCGTAAGAAGCAAAGGAATTTAGCTTTTTCGTGGCTTTTTGCAACACTCATTCCAATAGCGGCTGTCTCAGCGAGTGGTGTTAAGAGAAGATCGCGAGAGAGCAAGATAGCCTTGGTCTCACTGCGCAACTTATTTTCAAGAAAAATTGTATGTGAGGCACGTCTCTATGACACCGCTGGTCTTCGTTATGAAAGCTTTTTGTCGTTTCTGTTTTATTCTGTACAGCGGTTAATTTCTGTTTATACTTGTCATTCAAACACACTTTTTATTTCCATTTTCATCAATGAGAAAAACGGTTGACGAATTCAACCATAGTAGTTCTTCTGCAAACACAAACGCTGCCATTTCTTGACCTTGAAATCAGTGCCATCCGTTGATTCCACCACCAGAACCCTGACTCATTTGAATTCTAACTACCGGTAGTCCTTTTTTTTTTCCACAGCAGTACTACTTTTATATTTCATCTATTGGCAACTTGCCTCCGTTATGATATTACATTGCACGGTGGTCGCTGACCTAGTTCTGGCCTTCTTTTCGGACCATGTTAATACATTCCGATTTGTTGCGGTTGGCGGGGAATTCCTCCGCCGCCCCCCAACATTACTGGTGGTGGTGGTGGTGGGTTTGTGGCCCACCAGGCCCAGTTGGCAATTTCCAGCCACTTAAAGGCAACTTACCGGTTGAGGTAGCAAGAGTTAGGGACGAGGCCATTAAAGTTGGACGCCAATACGTTGAATTTATTAAATTTGGAGGAAATATTACGTGACCGAAAACTGTTTTAGATGCGGTCACTCTTTTTGTTTTCATCCCAAAGGAGTCGAAATGCTGCCCCGCGGTTTTGGCTGAAAATTGCATTCTCCAGATCAGCAAATGCTGGGGACTCGACCGACACTCGTTGCC